GGCAAAGCCCGCGTCGCGCCTATGAAAGCGCTTTCTATTCCAAAGTTAGAGCTTCAAGCGGCTCTCCTTGCAACCCGCTTAAAGGAAGAAATTTTGAAAGGTCCTACTTTCAAAGTTACGGATATTTTCATGTGGACAGATAGTACCGCTGTTCTTCAGTGGCTTCACTCTTGTAGTAAACTACCAGTTTTTGTTGGTAATCGCACTGGTGAGATTCTGGAGTCTACCAGCACTGATCAGTGGCATCACATACTTAGCGTTGATAACCCAGCTGATACCGGTTCAAGAGGGATTTCTTCGGAAGCCCTCAAGGAAAGCAGCTGGGTTAATGGCCCTAGTAAATTGAGAACAACTGATTGGCCGTTCAAGCCCGATACAAGGGTTATCGATAAAATAAGACTCAAAAGACCATCATGTGATATCGACATTTGTCTGGAAAATTCGTCAAATTTCGTCGTCGATGTTTTGACAGAAAAAAATCTTCCCTTCGGAAAATGGGAGAGATTCAATTCAATTGTAAAATACAAACGCGCAGTAACAATTTTTTTAAGATGCTTGCCATCCCATAAACATTTCCGGTCGAGTATATTAGAAATTACAGACCCGTCTGAAATGGATTTTGCTGAACAGAAGCTCATTTACCTGTCCCAGGGTGAGACATTCCCTAGTGAGCTAAAACTACTAAGATCCCGTAAAGTTATCACGAAGAATAGTCGGATCGCCAAGTATTCGCCGTTCATTGGACCAGCTGGCATCCTTCGCTCGACTGGGCGCATCAGCCGCTTGGTTAATTCCGATTTCGATAGCAAGCATCCGATTATACTTGATGCACGTCACGCGGTTGTTCGGTTATTGGTTCAGCACTTGCACGTTAGGAATTTCCATCAAGGCTTGGATTACATGCGTGCGGTGGTTAATTTGAAGCGTGGTTGTGTTAAATTTGCAATGATTGCTGCGAAACATCGAAAATACTTGCGTTGTGTGCCGAAAACGCAAAGCGCAAACCGTAACTCATATGATGGCTGATCTGCCCATTGAAAGGCTGGGTTACAAGCAACTTCTTTTCTCTAACACAGGTGTCGACTACTTTGGGCCGTTCCTAGTTCCAATCCGGAGAAGTACGGAAAAGAAGTGGGGTTTTTTGTTCACCTGTCTCAACACTAGAGCGGTGCACATTGAAGTGGTCCCCTCGCTCGACACAAGCTCTTGTGTGATGGGCGTGGAGAGGTTTATCGCACGTCGCGGTACTCCGACTACCATCATGTCCGACAACGGCACGAACTTTGTTGGCGCTCAGAAAGAGCTCTTAGCTTGCGTTGAGAGTTGGAACAAGCTCGCACCCGCTGTTTTTGTTCAGAAAGGGATCAAGTGGAAATTCAATCCACCCAGCGCACCGCACCATGGTGTTTCCTGGGAGCGATTAGTTCGGAGTGTTAAGCGCGTTTTGTATGACATCCTAGGCAACAGGAGAGTAACTGGGGAGATTCTAAGAACCACGCTGTGCCTTGTTGAGCAATCACTTAACACTAGACCGATAACAGCCATTAGTACCAATCCGCTAGATCTAGAGGCGTTGACCCCGAACATTTTATACTTGGTCAACACGCAGCGAGTTTTCCGTCGCTAATTTTCGATTAAAACTTCGACCATAAGAAGCGGTTCGCCAGAGCGCAATCATACGCTAACGCAATATGGACACGGTGGATGCGGCAATACGTTCCTTCCCTCAATAGGAGGGCAAAGTGGCACAACCAGTCAGACGTTAAGTTGAAAGCCGGCGACTTGGTTTTGGTCATAGAGCCTAACACTCCAGGTGAACATTATCCACTCGCACGTATCCTTAAACTGCACCATGGCACATAAAGACCGTTACGAGCGAACTTACCCGCCCAACCGTAAAGCTCGCTCCGTTCTTCCTTGTTTAGGGGTGGAGGATGTTGCAGCGCAAATATAAACGCAAATGCGCGAGAGTATAAATGCATATGAAACTGAACCAAACTATAAATGCATATAGCGACAGTAGCCGAGTGTATACATGGTGCGTCCCGGCGGGTTCGGTGCCGGTTCGAATCCCGCCTAGGTCATTTCTTTCTAGAACGAATATGCACCGAACTTGATGGGATGCTCCGTAACCAGGTTCGATATTCCTCAAAACCAAAACCTATTTTAACCGTCTTTTCGCTCTAATTTGGTTCAGCCTTGATTAGGGCTGACCTTTAAAAAGAGCAATTTGTCTCAAGGACAAATACTGACCATTTTTGCAGCTTGCCTTGAGTTATGCAGTTGTTTGTGGCCGATGTTACCGATGATAAAGCTTGTTAAAATTATCGTTATATTTTAAAATTTCCGGAGTTATTTTGCCGAGAAAATGCTCATTAATTAAAGTGTTTAAAAACCGTTTTTATATAATCGTGGAGATTGACGCGCACAAGATCTTTTCATCAAACCACTAAGAAAAATTACACTAATTTGAAAAAAGTGTTAAGTACTTCTTTTAAAGACTATGGTAGGAAAATTCCGTGCTTCTTCTTCTTGCACAGTAACCAACTATCCTTGTTGTTCCGATCATTGAAAATGGGGAGGAATTTTGTTTTCATTTTTTAAAATTTTATAATTTTTTAATTTTTTCTTAGCTTTAAATTTTTGATTTTTTGTCTTGTTTCGAGCAAATGAAACGAGCTAGTAGTCTTATTTTAACTTCTGAAAGCTAACAGTAGCTTAAATTAAACATAAAAACCTAGTTTTACTCGAGTAACTTATGTTTATTTTGAGGACTTAAGCGCCTTTTTGGAATCAAAATTTTCAAAAATTCAAAAAAACTGCTAAATTTGAGAAAAAAAAAATTACTATTCTTTTATTTTTCAAGTAACTTTTCTAAAAAATTTTTTTTTCAATTTGCTTATTTTACTATGACTGTCATTTATACCTAATCTCCTTTTCAGCTCTGTGTATCAAATCACTCCAAAAAAAACGACGGTAATTTCAAAAAAATGTGTTGTATTTTTTAAGGCTATGGTCGGAATATTCTGAGCCTTTTGCACAGTAACCGGCTATCCTTGTTTGAGCTTTTGACTTTTTTACTGCCCTACTTGGCTTGGCGAACCATTAAAACAACTTTCAGCTAGTAGAACACTAGAAACGTCAAATCTATATCATCATATCATTTTTTGGAGACTCTATTGATTAGCGGGCCTGATGATAATTTGACATCTCGGGCTCAGGTGGAAAATCCGTTCAGAGTAAAAACTCTCTCTTGATACCCGGAAATGTACTGTTTGATCCACGACCTCTTAGACAACAGGTAAAGTAGTCCATCTCCTAGGGATCAAGATGTGCTTAAAAAACCACCTCCGGGAAGCCAATTAATTATATATCCCATTCCTTCGGTTAACTTAGAGATCCTAACTCCTATGTCATACTCCTTTAATTGTCGCTTTTCACTGGGACTACTTTACTTCGGTCTAGTACCCTTCTTGTACCCTACGTCTGATTTCTACCAAAATAGGACCAATTATTTCGAGCTTGTGCTATTTTGAGATGCCATTTTTTTGCCTTACTATGTTTAGCTTGCTGTTTAGTTATTAATGCAAAGTTTGGCTATCAACATCAGAGTCGCCAGTTCTACGTCACGATTTCATTTTTAGAGCCTCTACTGATTAGCAAATATTTAAAGAAAATTTTTTCTTGACAAATTGCTAAATAACTAAATCTATAGAAGATCCTTGCCTTAAAATAGCTCTCACAACAATCAGTATTTTTTCTTTATTCTTTTTAGAATTGACCAATCATTTCTTATTCAATTAGCTACAGCCTTTGGGCAAACTCTACTAATTTGATTCTCGTCCTTACAAGTTATAGTCAATTCTGTCCCCTACCTTCAGCTATTTGTGTGAAATCACGAATATCATCAGTTCAAAATTGGAATCACCTTTCAACTCAATCAGCTGAAAGGTTTGTTTTCATTTTAAATAAATTCTTTTTTTTCCAAATAAATAGTATAATTTTTTTTCGGCAAAATAAGGCTATTTCATTTCTGAGTTTCATTGTACTTTTTATGGACACAACTTCAACTACGTTTCCACCAACTTCAGAGCATATTTCACAACTATACGAAAATTGTCTTTCATATAAGTTTTCAAGGCGCCAATAAATGCACCAATTAAATGAAAGTTCCTCAGTTTTGTTTTTCAGAAACTGTACGAAGTTGAGATCAAGTTAGCATCTTCTCCCATAAGTAGGCAAGTTAGGAGTCTCAAGTCCTTCAATCCATCACCTCGCCCCACTCAAAGTACTGTAGTATGATAGGCGATAATCCAAATAAAGACCTAGTTAAAATCCTCAACCCCCCTCCCCCCACCAAAGCGTTTGTCGGATGTTGTTAACTTAGGCAAAATAGTTCCTAACAAAGACTAGAGATTTTTGCCTCATGATCTTATTGTTGAGATTTGCACTCCCATAAAAATCGGCATTCACAGAAATTTCAAAAGAAAATAGCAAATTTCGAAGCTTGATTCTATTTAAAAACTGATGTTTAGTAGAATAAGTATGAAATTTCACTTCGCCTGCCGGGGAAAGTGAAAGCAGCAAGAAAAGATATTATAAAAAGCAGCAGTTTTGCACCTCCTTTCTCTGTTGACTTCATTCAAAGTAATATCTTTTATGACTTGTAAGTATCACAAAAATTCTAAAACGAAATATATTAATTATACCATTTTCATTTCTTTGGGAGTTTCGTTGATATCTTTCGTTGATATTGTTTTTATTTTTAGGAACATCAGATTTTCACGCAGCTCTTAACTAATTATATACATTAGGTGGCGGATTTGCAGCAAAAAAGTTCTATCACCAGAAGCGCCGCCTTTTTTCGTATTCTGCGTTTTGCCGCTTCTTTATTTGCTCACTTACCTAGTTGTTTGGTTCAATTTTCAGTCTTTTGAGGAAAGTGAAAACTTTTTTCCATCTAACCAATACCAAATTTGCCAACAAGTTAGTACATTTTGTGTTCTTTTTGTTTTCCTTTGGGTTTTTCTAAATCTCAATTGAGGTGTTAAAAGTAGAGAATTTGGGTTAGAAGAGACTCAAGACGGCTATTAAAGGTCTTTGTCCCCTGTTTTCTTTTGCCTTTAACCAGTTGATGACTTCGCAAATGGGCTTTGCTAGTTTATAAAAAAGCAAAATTTGTATTTTTTGAATTTTAATTTTAAGATAACCGACTTTTTATTCATAAGCTTCGTCGCAATAACTCAAGTGGAAATATCACCTTAAAATAGTTTTCCTGTTTTTCTTCTTTTTCATTTCCAGATCAGAAAAAGTTGATTGGCAAATTATTTCAACTGTGAAAAGCTATATACTTGAATTTCATTTTAAAATTTAAACTGGGACCCTTTTCTCACCCTCATTTTTCAGCGATCGATCACGCATCAGAAGGTTAGTCAAGCATTCTATATTTCGTAGGCAGTTTCTTGATAATAGCCTCATTTTTTCAAAAACGGCTTAATTTTCAGCTTAAATTCAAAAAATAAAGACTTGTAGATAGTGATTTTTTAGGTTTTTATACGCTTCTGGGGCAGCACTTTCCTCTTTAGATGTGAAAACATTTTTACTGGTAACCACTAAAAGAGAAAGTTCAGCTTCTCTAAAAAAAGGACTGTTAGAAGAAAAACGATCACTACCTCATTTGAAGAAGAAATTCATCCCGAAAAATAGCAACCCGGTTAACCAATTTGTTCGAAGACAGGATAGCATAATTTTTTCTTCGCTCCTTTTCACCTTTTTAACAGCTCCCATCTCGAGAAGTAGTTTTTTCTTATAAAAAATTGAAGTTTCATTATATTCTGATGTTACATTTCCAGCTGGATGGTTATTTAAAATTATTATTTTTTTGCTTTTCTGTTCCCCTATTTTTGCGAGAATTGCCATATACAATGAAAGAATCATTCGTGAACGCATATCTTGCACCAAATTCTTTTTCGAGACAAAGCGGATGCCTTGGGATTTTCAGTTTGAATTAATGTTTGTGAATGTCTGTATGAACTGCAGTTATTTGGGCCTGAAATGGCATTGAACTATTTACATAAGTTTATTCGCTTCTTCTCCACAAAAAGTTTTTCCCACAAAGATAGGACTTAAAAAACCGAAAAACAATGCGGTATTTTTTATCATCACTTTGTGGGTTTCTTACGTTAAAATCCTGTATGGTAACTTTTCGGCTAGCTCTTGTTCAACAAAATATTGGATATAACGGGGAAAAATTAGCGCTTTTGGGAGCGTTTTATCCTCGAAGCCATTATACTTATATCAATTACTTCTCTAGAAAAAATTTTAAGTTTCGTCTGCACGAGTTTGTGTTGTCCTCGTAAACTTTTTTTCATGATAATGTTTTGAAAAAAAGTTGAGAAATGAAAATCTCACTTTAGATGCGTATTATTTCAAGCGGACAATGAAGGAAAAAATGAATTTTTCAGCAATCTAACAGGCTCTTTGCAAAAATCCAAAAATCTTTGATACAATTTTTGCCATGTTCTCAGGAAAAATTTTAGAATGGCGTCTATATAGAAAAACTTAGGTGTCAGCCAGCCAAAGAAAATTAGGGCCTAATATAGTACCAAAGGAGTACCCTGTGGGTAGTCAGGGGTTGGTTCTCGGAGAGAAGGGGCATCCGCCAGCCCTTCCAGCCCCCATGATTCCGCTACTGATCTTTCCCTTTAGATATTGTCAGTTTTCTTTGGAAGTTTTTAAGTATCGATATCAATACATTGCTAAGGTTTTGAAGGATAACTAAAAATTTTTTGTCATTCAACTTTCAAAATACTTCATTTTTTTCCCGTAATTCAATTCGTAACATAAATTTAAGCCGCATCAACGTTGCTACTGGAGCCTCAATAACACGAAATATTCGTCGCTCGTTAAATGTTCCAAATTTGCCGTATTAAAAGCTCTCAAATTTAAACTCTCAATTTTTTACAAAAACCCTGATCACAGATAAAAACACTTTTTTAATTTAAGCTCAAGGTTGTATTTACTTTCTGATGATATAAAAAAGACCGTTAAAAGTTGCTAGTTGAAAAAAAATTGTTTGACGAAAAAAACTACTCTCAGTACAAACAGTTTAATATTTTTTTGAAAGTCGAAGCAAAAACTAATTCACAGTTCTTGCAAAACAGCGCTTTAGTTATCGGAGAGCATTAAAAAGGGGAAGTGCTGAAGTAAAGAACAACTATTATCAAATTTGAAAAAAAAGTTAGAAAAAAAGCAAAAAAATCAAAAAAAATCAAATTTTTGTCTAATCTTCTCATTTATTTCTCGCCAGAAAAGTTTCCTTTTTGGACTAGTTGAAAAAATTGTGAGAACAAATAGTAACAAAAGCTAAAAACAACTTAATTTTTTCGTAATTTTCTCGTAAATTTTGCTGGTCAGCCTCTGCTCAAATGATCAAGTTTAGTCTGAACACTGTTAACATTCAGACGAGTTTTATTTGGCAACGAATCATTTCGGAAGAAAACTTTTTTTGTCCAAAACACTAGCAATAACTTTTTTCATGCTACCACAATTTGGCTCTTACAAATTTTCTTAGAGGTAGTCATCATCGGAAAGGCACCTCTTACGCCAGAGTTTCTTCCATCCTTTTACCCAGTGAAGGATATGGGAAACACAATGGCTCAGGGCGTAATTTTTTCTTTCGGCGGCTGGAACAAAAAGGGCATTGAAAGGATAAGCAAAACTGCTCGTGTATCAGGGCAAAGCACTGCTTGTTCCGATGACCCTTAATCCATATCGAATAGATTTGGGAAAAGAAAAAATTGAAAACTGTACATTTTGGACAATACAAAGTATCAAGTGTAATAAATTGAGTCGTGCGAAATTACTACGACCAAGCTTGCCCTAATTCAAAGTAGGAACGATTTTGCTGTGCGGGACACGCCATGCATAAACAATTCGCGTTACGCTTCCTTGAATGAAACGTTCAAAGCGCGCATAAATTAGTCCAGAGCTTAGCTAAATTAGCAATTTTCAAACGACTAGAACTTAGAAAAAAAAAGATCGAAGATGATTTTTTTGCTGCATTCAATTTCAGGGAAATTACCTTTAATTTCAGATTTTTTTGTTGAAAGCTATTATTTCAGTCACCACAAATTGACTGAATAAAAAAACCGAAACTAGCACAAACATTCCAATTTCTTCGGAAGTCGAGAAAAAACCATGTCCTAGAAATTTAAGCTCTAATGGTTGAGCTGGCACAGAGATGACTCTTAACTTCCAAATCGTTTATTTTCCAATTGGTTGTTTTTTGGACTCTTACAATACTTTTCGGAATATTCTTAAAAAGAATCAAAATGAGGCAGACAAACTTTTCTAAGATAAATTACACAGCGTCTCGTCATTTTGATTGGGAAATATTGTAAGATTCTAAAACACGCTTGAATGAAAAAGTTGTTCACATTTTGGAGTCTGAATAAAAACAAAGAAGGTATGGAGCCAATGTTTTGAGGGTTTCCTGTGTTACTTGTCTATGAGGAAGTGTCTATGCATCCAAACAGTCATCTGTTGAGCCAGGCCTGACTAAAGGAAAAATTATGTCGAAAGAATTCACAGATTGTTCTTGAGTTCTCGAGTGGATAAGCAATGCAAAATGAGTATTCTCCTCCCTCGGTGATTTGAATAGTTAAATTACCTCAAATGAAACAGTTGCCTGAAACACATAGCCATTGAGCTTGTATTTTATATTTTAATTGATTTTTTTTCGCACTGTAAGTGTACCCTAGTAATCAGTATATCATTCAGATTTTCTCTCAAACTATTTAAAAACCCCATTAAGTTTGCTCTTAAAGCTTTTAGATTTCTTGACCCTGGTCCCCAAGGATTAAAATTTTAAATTTGATAACGGATTAACCTCTAATGAAAATATTGCTAATCTCAGATATCAATTCGAATGCCACGTCTCTAGATTTACTGCTGGAAACTTCAAAACTCCAGGGAAACCCTGGACTCTTCAAGTGCCTGACAACTAGTACAGGATTGCACTGGACTCTTTACGCTGGATTTTTTATGGCTTTTGCGTGAAAAATTAAGATTTCCTGCCCTTTTTGAGTTTTGACAGGAACTTCAAGATTTTGTTGGCTTCAAGTTTAATCAAGACTATAGGAGAAACAGGTATTCGTTTACTCTAATGTGTCAAATCAAACGACCTAATCACTGCGACCTGTCATCAAATTTTTTGCCTAATCTCAAGTTTGCTTTTGAAGAAATGAAAATTTTCTGTATACGGCAAATGCAGCATACTTTTTGAATTTCAAATAAAATTTGTACTTTTTAAAACATTTTTCTTTCGCAAAAACTAGATGAATATTTTGAAATTAATTTGGAAGACATGGACGAAATTGTTTTGAGAAGCAGTTTTGGTCTCTTTATCTCTTATCAATTCTTTCGCTTTGTCTGTTTATTCAAAAATCTCTGATTGAACACGTGATTTTTGATCTAAATATATAATTTAGGCTCTATGAGCATATACATATTGTATCCTATAAAAATTAATTATCTAAGTCACCATCCTACACAAATTTCCACTATCGATCTTACAACTTTATTACAAAACTTTGAAGGCACTTTTTCCAAAATGTGCAGTTGATTTTGAGGCTTCTTTTAGGGTTTCGCTCCCCTCAAAATATATACTTATTTTGAGGGGGGAGCGCGCGCCCGAAAAATGCGATTTTTTTGGTCAACGTTTTCCAAAAAGTGCTTAAAAACGCCTCTTTGACCATTTTTTCAAATTTTTGCCTGCGGCCCAGAAAATTAGGCCAAAACGGGAACTTTTTAATGCTCTGGGTGATCGACCTACAAAAAAAACGACCAAATGTTTGAAGTTCCCCCTTCGAAAAAATCCTAGACCAGCCCCTGCTGAAGGCAATTTGAAATTCAATTTTCAAAGTAATATACGGATTAAAATCAATTTGAGTCATTCAGGGGCGGATCTAGGATTTTCTCGAGGGGGGGGGGGCGGATTTTCAAAAAGTTTTCAAAAATTTTGACGACCAAATTGATTTTTTGAGCTCTCGCAAAGCACTTTTTGAAAATTTTTGACAAAAAAATAGCGTTTTTTTGGCGCGCGCTCCCCCTCAAAGTCAGTATATCTTGGCGCCAAAGGCGCCTTTAGAAAAAGTTTTAGGGTCGGTCGGCCAAAAATTTTAGGATTTCTGAAAAAGTATCAAAGGGGGGAACCATTGGGTCGGCAGGGGGTCGAATCCCTGAGGGAAGAGGCGTCCAACCCCCCCCCCCCCCCTCCCCCCTAAATCCGCCCCTGGAGTCCTTTGAAAATTTAGTTTGTAGTTATAATGTCAGCAATTTTGGACAAAGTTTTGGACAAGAATTTCAAACATTTTGCAAAAACATTTCTTTTTTTTGCGTTTTCAGCAGTTGAAATTTTTACTCGG